GAGAGAGAGAGAGAGAGCAGCACCAGCACCAGCAGTCTGACAAAGCTGCACTCCCTGGAAGTTTGACATCCCCAGCGGGCTACAGAGGGAGTTCTGCTCCGCCGCTGCCATGGAGCCTCGGAAGTGTACTGGATCTGTATTGATTGGACTTTACCTGTGGGCGACTTTCTGCTGTCAAGGTGGGTCACTGATGGAGCCTTCACTCAGTTTTCTGTCTGTCAAAAGATTGCAGTGACCAAAGGAAAAAGGGCTTTTTCTTCATTATTATTGTAATTTGGGCATCATTTACATAAACATTTGTCAGAAACATGAGAGCCGCAGTTAAGACACACTGTTTACTGCACATCTGGCATGACGGGAGCATCTGTATCTGCAACTGTTAAAGGCACGTTCATGGAGTTGTGTGTGCAGTAGATCCTTTTGTTAGAAATATTTTCTGAGAGGATATTATAATATTCATTTTGAATAATTAAAGGGGCGTTTACAGCTACCAAGATATATGCCTGCATGTGGTGTTTTAACAGTTTATATTTGTGTTACATGTGTAAAGGCCGATGAATCCCTTAAGATCACCACAGTTTCATAAATTGCTGCATTACTGAATTTGCAAGCTTGCAGTGTGTGGGTCTGTGTGTTTGTGTGTGTGTGTGCGTGCACAGCCTTCTTTAATGGTCTGACAACATCTGGCCCAGAATAAGGAGGGCGTCCCAGCGGTGATGCAAGGAGCCCACTGGGGCCGCTCATCCCTGCAGTGTAATCTCCAGCTAAAGGATTGTTAGATCTATGCGTGACAGGAGTGGACCAGAGAGGACCCTCAGAGGAGGTTAAATCTCTGTAATGTGTCTGAATCCCTGGTTTACATTCTGGATCTATTCTGTAGCTACACGAATGCTACTAAAATTCATCTTCGGCTGTCATGTTTTACTGATGAAACCTACTTTTTTAGTACATATTTGCTCTGACTGAAGGGGAAGAGAAAAAAAAGGGAATGTCTTGACATAGAGATACATCACACACCCAGAAGATGTGAACAACTAGTCTTGATTAATGATCAATTAATCAATGAACTACAGTACAGTTAATGTAAGTTTTTGTTAAATGGAACAGGATTGATATTCTTCACTTATAAGCTCCAACATGCACACAGGTGAGGAGGGTCCTCTCTGTATCTGTGTCCTCACATGTTCTCCCAGCAGGTTGTAGAGTGTTGTAGAATAACATACAGACTGGACACAACCTTTTATCATATTATATTAAATAATCTGTGTTGTTTTTTTTTTTTAATTGTTTAGGTTCCTCTGGCTCCTCCCAGTGCTCCTAATGGTAAATAAGTCCTAATTGTAAGAATCCACTGAGCCTAAATTAAAACAACCAATCAAGAGCCAAGAAAGATAATTGATTGTTGAGTCGCATTCCCATGACAATAAATACAGATGCTTTGGGACCCTGTGAATTAGACTCAACAATCAATTATCTTAAAGCTTCCAACCCAAAGCATCTTTCTGTCTTTCTCGGCTCTGATTGGTTGTTTTCATCCAGGCCCTGTTGATTCTTGCAAATCCCATTAGGACCACTAGAACGAGCCAGTGTACCAGATTTTTACACAGATTATCTGTATCATGTTCTACTGTCAGAACACAGTTAAAATTTCAGCAAATATGACAAAAGCTTATTTTTATAAAAAGTACCTACTGCAGCTTTAAAAAAGACTTTGAAGCAACTAAATTTCAATTACAAGGGCTCTACATAAGAGCAACAGTAAGTCTAGTTTCACACCAAAATGAAGTCCAATTTTCCTCATAAGATCCCTTATCAGCACGTGTAAACATCTTTGAACCTTCTAGCAAAACCTCTGGAATGCCATGTTCCAAGTAGATTTTCTAGCTACCTCCGTGAAGGGATTCCTTCTTTAGGAGTGAGGACTTAAGCTCTTCCAAAAGTACCATGTGCCATATTCACCAATGTTCACATAATTAGCAGTTTGTATTATTATGTCCACCCTCTGTCCCTCCAATTCCTTTCTAAGTGTAGTGTGTCATGTAGTCTGGACAAAGTCTTGTCACGGCTTACTGAACATGTGATTATCTAAATTTGCAGTTAGGTTGTCACGTTTTCAACAGTCGTTGCTAATGAAAGTTCTTTCCTGAAACAAACCAGGAAACAACTTACTATAATACATGGTGCACAATAAAAGTGGGGGAAAGAAGAGCTTAAAACACTCTTTCTTGTTGTTGTCACTGATTCAACGTGGGTGTAATTGCGTTCCCAAATTTCTGTAAAATGTGTGTCCCAGTTTCAAACTTGCAGACACTTGAATTGGTTCCGACCAGCTTGTGTTACATATGAGCAAAATACTGTTTCGCTACTGCAGTTGTTTGAGAATGACCCTTGTTGAAAATTTAAGTTGATATTGAATGTAAATGAAAATTAAATTGGAACTGGATTATTCATGGGTCTACATCCAGAGTGACTCAGACACAAGACATTCTCTATGGTTGCTGAGTAGTTGTAGTTTACTATTCATCACCCTCAACTACCCTGATGGAAATTTGGTTGATTGATTAAAGACCCTTTTGATATGCTTTTTGGCCTTTTGTATAACTGTCCTTAATCAAGCTCCCATAGCTAGTGTTAAACGGTGGAGAGTTGGTTGAGGTTTTGTTTGAAATTAACATGCACAAATAAACATTTGTGTATCAATAATGAAAGAAAATGCCTACCTATAGTGTGTAAGGGGTGACAAATTAAGAAACTATTATTGCTCCACTTTGCAGTTACCCTTGACACTACTGAGTGTTTTACAATCTTTATGGTCATTGCTTTGCAACTTGACTGTTTTGGTTCAGTCTCTTTCTCATCACCTTTGTTTCCAGGCATACCAGGCAGCTAATAAGCCACATTTTCCCCTCAGGAGTTGGTGGAGACCAAAAACGAGCTAAAAGGAGAATGAATATTTATAATATAGACTTATATTCATCAAGTGGCCAGAAAGATGACTTCAAATGAATTGTAAGTTGCTCCAGGTCTGCTGGATGTGTAAATAGGCATGGCTTTGCAAAGAGGTTCGCCATCACAACATTATTACGTGATAATATGTTTATAGCCTGTACTACCCACTAGTAGCCATAAAATCAATTACTACAGGTTTAAAGCTGCCGTCTGTACATTCAAGCCCTTGATAAATGAGTTCACACAATGTTGATTAAGCCCATCACACCTGTAAATCTCTCTGTATTCTGCAGTATATCAGAGTTTACATCAACCAGCAATGATTGGTTTGCCAGAGCTGAAATGGGGAGCAACCATTGCAATGAAGTAGTCTGGCGTAGGCACGTCTCATAAGCACCCGTCAATAGTGTTTTTGTAATGACTCTCACTGCCAGGAGGGGGAGACAAAAGTTCCGCAATGCAGGTTTAAGAAAACTTTTTTGGAAACTAATAACACTGCACCACAGCATAAATGGATTCGTTCTTGTAAATGTGAAGCAAAAGCAGGAAACCTTGCATGATGCATGAGACTACTTTAAGAAACATGTTTGTGTGTACTCTTGGGCTAGAGGAAATGCTCTTTGCAACTTATTTCCACAAGATAACGAAGTGGCCTTGTTTGATATTCTTGAGGAAAATTAGTTGACCAGGTCAGATTCCGTCCTGCTGTCTTCTTTGCTTTTCAGATTATTGATATGTATTGATCTTATAGTGATATCTGTGTACCAGCTGCTTTAATGTGATTCGATTTTGTCTACTCGATGTTCAGCTTGCCTGTGGCTAATCAATATTTAATCTGTCTCTGTGGTGGGATAGTCCTTGTGAGTTTTGTCATGTTTTTGAGTTGAATTGTATCAAGTTTCTAGTAAATTCCTTCATGAAATTGCAGCTAATATCCTAACAGGTGCCTGCTGGTGCTTTTCTATAACTTCAGGACGAGGAGAAACATATAGGAAAAACATTCAAGATGAAGACTAAAATAACACATCTAATGTAATAACAAGAAGAATCCATTATTTGCACCAGCAACTTCAATTCAAAGAAACATCCTTCAAGAAAAGTGTAATCATGTAGATATGCATTAGCTATGACAACAATACAGCTCTTAAAAGTACACTGGAAGCTGAACAGTGTAACCTGTATAAGATGAAAACTGTCTCAGGGCGTCTTGTGCTTCATCCCACCAGCTAAAGGCCTTTGAAACCAGTTGCTATGTAACAGCAGGTTATCTCTTGTTTTTATTGGTTTCACTCAAATGGTCACGGTGACAGTGGTCCATTGTGTCCTTTATTCATTGCGTATTTATTGCTATTTATTTTGACTACTGTCAGCAAACCAAACTGCCTCTTGGGGACACTAAAGACTCTACACTGGCACTGTCCTACTGTCCTCAAATGTGAAGTCAATATTGCTGTGAGCAGCAAGCTGTTAGGGGTTGCCTTCTGGCCCTTGAACGCTCCAATATGGGGCACACTAAGACGGGAAAAGCCCAGATTAGAATTTTGCTTCGGGGTGTTCAATTTTGTATCATTTTCTGCAGCTGCTCTCTACTGTACTAACTAAACTATTTCCTAAACATGGCCTGCAGATAAGCTATGAGTGTGTGTCATGTTACAGTTTTATCACTTTAGATCATGCAAGGTGTGTGTATGCTGTTGTCAGCCACACAAAATAGTTGTCTCATTTAATGATGGTTGCATGTCAGTGTTTGTCATAGTGCTCTAGCATTTTACTTGTTCCACAGTTCTACTACTGGCAGACCATGTTGTTAAACTGTCACTGCGTTGATAGTTACACTTACACAAACTGCCTTTAGCATATTGGGAATATACCCTCAATGTGCACAAATAATTCAGTCCTCTAGATATTGAGACTCATAACTTATAAAAAAGAATTGCATGTTTCAATATACAGTATGCAGAAGTAAAATAAATATCCAGAAATAAGGATCAGGGACATCTTTATTATCCCTGAGGGGCAATTTGTTGTTAAAAATCATATGGCATAGCTGAGAGCTGGGATGCTTGGAGATCCACAGGTGTTTTTGTGGTTAACTCTGTTAATATTAAACATACAAATCAGATTACTGGTCATGGTTAGTGCCACTCAACTCAAGTTGTATAAAGTCTTATGTGGCTCTGGTGAAAATAACCCTGATGATGAGATGCAATGTGATGGGGACACATTTACA